GCGAATTACTTCAACAAAAATATGGAGAAAGACAAAAATTAGAAAATAAATTTAACTTTGATCCTGCTCAGAAGGTTCGGGATATGGTAGAAGAAATGAGAAAAGCAATTGAAAAAAGTGGTAGAGGTGGTTCGGAAAATGACAATGGCCAAGACGGAAATAACGGAGGAGGTAGACCAAGAAACTTCAAAAACTCTGACAATTTTTTCGGCGATGATTGAGAAGGAAATGATGACCTTAATGGAAATAGTAGCAAAAGGACCTCGCAGAGGAGAGAAGGAGGAAATGATGCCCAATCTAATCAGCAACTAATTATCCTTGCCGTGGTAGCCCTAGTAGTTCTGTTTCTTCTGATGAACCAAAAATCCAAACCGCTCCACCGCCAATACGACGAATATGATTATTAACCATGAAAACCCAAGACATTAAACAAGCCATCGGCGAGCAAACTCAAAAGTTAGAGAATAAAGTCCAAGAACTATGAACGGATTTTAGCCCGCATTATACTAATTTAGAGCCTTGACAACGGGGTTTAATTCTTATTAGTATTGTTACTTTACTAATTTTTGCCATTTACTACCTCACTTGTGAAAACAAAGATAAAAAAGCCCGCCAAAAAGCCCAAGCAGAGGCGGTCCTGGAAGAGAAAATTATTAAACGCATGGAATTATTAAAAAAACTACGAGAATAAAATTATGAATTACCAAGAAAACCAATCAACTCTCGCTCAGATAAAAAAGAAAAAACAACAGCAGACTACTATGCTAATTGCTTTAATTTTGCTGGGTGGATTAGCCTACTACTTTTTAGGATATTTGCCGGAAGAAAGAAGCCGGATTAAACAGGAAATAGAAGAAGCATTTAAAGAAAATTGAAATGTATCAACTGACAAGTTAGATGTTAACCTTTGAGAAGGAGCGGAAAATTGAGAAGAATATTTAAACAATCTATATTTACCTTCTCAAGTAAAATCCTTTGGTGAAAAAATGCTAAAAGCCATTGACCGAAAAGCCGAAGAATTAGAGGAAGAAGAAAAAGAGAAACCAAAAAAATTAAGGCAAAAAGTCATTGAAAATGTAAAAGCAGCTTGCGAAGAGGAAGAATTAGAATTACCCGAAGTCAAAAAAATTATCGAGCAGTGCACAGAAAAAATTAATAAAACTTCTCTAAAAGAACTTGATAAAGTTAAAAAGCACGCAATTGGATTAATTGAGCAAGAAAGATTTAAGAGACGAAAAGAACATTGGAGAAGACAGGTTCATAATTGAGTAGACCGGAAACTAGTAGAAATGAGAGATGTCTATGCCGAAGCGTTCGCTCGCAAACAAAAAGACGGAATAAATAAAGCAACTTTCGCTGCTCCTTATACTATTTACTTTCCTCCTTCTCTCTGGGGTAGTCTAACCGAAGAACAAAAAAATCATCCGCAAACTGCTGAACTTACTTTAAGAGAAGACGTTCATGCTTATAAATTTAATGACAAAATAAACGAATGATACGACAAGGTAAAATTAGATCCAATCAGAGGCGAAAAAGATTCTAATACTAAGAAAGATAATAACGCTTTGTTTTATGGAACCGGTGGTACTGGTAAGTCTATTTCAGTAGAAAAATTAGCCTATGAAGCTGACAAGTATCCATTAGTCATCGTCAAAGGATTAGCCCTAACTCCAAAACTTCCTGACCAAAAATGTAATATTGCCGTGGCAGAAAAATTTTTCTTTACCGTTGCTGATATAACTTGAACTTTGGTGGACGAATTTGGCTTTGAAAGAGACGAAGGAGGTGAGGTTCGCTACATTTTCTTTATTGATGAAGCCGACCAAATTAGCGAAAATTCTTTTGCTAAAGAATCTACGGGCTTAACTTTTCTAAAAGAATGCATGGGCAGCGATAACTACAAATTAAATGAAAGTTGAAACTTATGGATTGCCGCTACTAATCATTTAGATAAAATAGACCCAGCAGTATACCGTCCAGGACGGTTAAGTAATCCGCTAGATTTTAGTTGAACCCTAGGAGATTTTAAAAGATATGCTAGCGATGCGGGCATTAGTAGTCAGTTTCCTGAGCATTGAAAAGATGATACACTAAGCGATGAAGATAATAAATGGGTTAATCGATTTAACAAAGATTATTTCGATGCTGACTTCTTGCCTTTCTGAGAAAAATTTATTGCTAACAACCCCGGTGCCGAATATGAACCGGAAAAAGATGAAGAAAATACTGAAGAACAAGAAGATGAAGACAACGAACCAGCAGACAAAAAAGTAAAAATTAAATGAGGCGAATTCTTTGAATTTTTTTGAAGACTTAAAGACAGCAGCCAGTTAGAGCATTTTGACGGAAAATTTGAAACACCCAGAAACCCGAAAGTAGAAGAAGTATTAGCCGGA